GACTTTTAAACTCCCTTTATTTTGCACTATTAATCTTATTATTCATTATTGTGTGAATATTAATATTTTTTATATAAAATAATGTGTGAATTGTTTGTATGTGTAACTAACAATATTCACACAATATTGTTGAAATGTTGAAATGTATACACACATTAATTGCATCTAACATATAAGTTTTTGTTTATATAATATATCTGTAAATTATATGTATATGCGATTAATGATATGCAAATTGATTGTTTTATAAAAAACATACAATTTTATTTTACTATCACACATATATATATATAATATATTTCATTTAATGATAAACATTATAAAATGAAGCAAATATATATATATATATATATATATATATATATATATATATATTTTAATATATATACAACACAAACATATATATATATATGTTTGTGTTGTATATATATTAAAAAATATATAATACAATATATATAAATATATATATTTGCTTCATTTTATAATGTTTTTCATTAAATGAACTGTTGCGGAACACGTTAAACTCTTGTGACTTACCGACGTGCAGATGATCAGTCCACACACCAACAGACACATTAAATCCCTCATCTTCATAATAAACCATTCAATGTCCACGGACGATGTAGTGAAACTGTAACCGGAATAAAACAGGTCAACTCTCACAGACGAGCGTGAATAATCCAGACAGGCGCGTTTATTCCAGCACGATACAGTGAGTCGAGCACAGAAGTTTCTATCACTTGTTTTCACACTGCAGCGAGTCTTTATACGGCTGTGCTGTGATATCATCAGAACGGCCAATCAGAACGCGGCTGTGCGGATACTGTTGTTAAGGGGCGTGGCTTAGTCATCCGGGCGGGTTGTGGGCGTGGCCAGCGATGAATGCAGTCATTCATAAAACTTGTCCATTCCAGAGAAGAGCTGCTGTCTGCTGTTTATTGACTTAAGTTTTAATAAAAATATTATGGATGCTTTAAAGTCTCTTTCACACGCACAGCTCTGTCCGCTGTGTGCTTTGTGCAAGGCAAGATAAATATACTCAGCTGTGTGATGTTTGCAGCATTAATAGAGCAGATTTCCTGCATGAGAAGACTGATGGAGAGATGGATCAATGAATTAAACAGAAGTCACAGCGAAGCCTGATTCATCACATTATTTCCTTCGCTTTCTCGCGTTTCAATATTTTTGTGATTTTTATAAATTTTCAAATTGAATTTAAAAGTACTTGATTGCGATTGTTTACAAACAATATTGCCAAAGCATTTTGCACAATATGCACAAAACAAGTCTTGACAAGAAAAAATACATACAATATAACAATAAAAAAGGACAATAATCAATAAAATATATTGATATAATACTTGTTTCTTGTCATGTGGACAATATTCCTTGCTAATTGTTGTCAAGAGATATTGGACTAGAATTTGTGAAATTGATATTTGAATAGAAATAAACCGCGGTAAGGTTGAGATTCGAGATATTTCAGGTCAGGTGGTGTTTTGAGTAATTTCCTCAGGAGTGGAAAAGCTCAGCATGACTAACACATGGAGAGAGAGATGGATGGAGTGATGTGGACAGAGGTGTGGGTGGAGGAATGTGAGGACCAGATCAAACACACAGAGAGAGAGAGAGAGAGAGAGAGAGAGAGAGAGAGAGAGAGAGAGAGAGAGCTGGGCAAAGACTGTAAGAACCGGAGGGAAAGAATGAGCAAAGGTACAAACAGAAAGAAAGACATTCAGACTTTTGAAGGTCTTTAACGGGAAAGAAAGAGTCTGAAATGTTTCTTTACGGGTAGTCATCGCATTAACGCATTAAATACACTTTAGTTAACATTAATGAACTAACAATGAACACTACAGCTGTATTTTTATTAACCAACATTAACAAAGATGAACTAATACTGAAACAAATGTATTGTTCATTGTTAGTTTATGTTAGTTAATACATTAAATGATGTTAACTAATTAACCTTATTGTAAAGTGTTACCACATATTTATATTTATACAGTATTTTAAGTCTTCCGGGTACACTGGGTTAATATATATATTAACTTTCTTAAAGGGGTCATGATGACATGCACATAATTTGTCTTGATCTTTTGACATATAAGGTCTTTATTAAAACATCCTGTGAGTTTCATAGCTTAAATCGTCCTCCTCATTATAAACAAAGCATTTATTTAATCAAGCCTGAAAAACAGCTCGATACTGTGGGATCTGTGATGTCACATGGGCAATCACATTTGCATATTCCCTCCTCCAGAGCAAGACATCGGCCAGTAGTTATACATCATCACACCATAAGCCCCGCCCACTGCATTCAGTTGCTTTACTCTGTGTTCACACCAGGCGCGAATAGCGCGTCAAATTCGCGCCTGACGCGCCTAGTTTGACGCTTGACCACTTTGTGTGAATTTGCGTGTCAAGAGCGAAACTGACGCAGGTAAAATAAAAAGTTTGAAACGAAATTTACGCGCGTCTCGCACATCAAAAACCGAAACCCGTTGACGGCCATCTTTGTTTATGTTGATCGAGCATTCATCGAGAGTGCCTGACTCTCATGCCGGAGACCCGGGTTCGAGGCCCGCTCGGAGCGGGTTGAGTGGGACCCGGGTGTGAGGGGTTACATTGGTGCCGTGACCCGGATGAGAGTGAGGTTTAGGGGGGTGAGTGTAACGGAGGCCAGCTAGTAGTTGCTGTGCGAGTAAACCTCACTCCCCGATCTCAATAGGCGCTCTAGCGACAGACGCTAGAGACTGCAGTCTTTAGCCTCCTTGTTAGCGCGCCTGACTCTCATGCTGGAGACCCGGGTTCGAGGCCCGCTCGGAGCGGGTCGAGTTGGACCCGGGTGTGAGGGGTTACACCCGCATCTGAGCGAGGATCACCCTCTCCCTCAATTCGCGTCAAACGCGTGAATGCACAAATGGCACTAACTAAATCATTCGCGCATAACGCGCTTAACGCGCCAGACGCTCAATTCGAGGCGTATTCGCGTCTTCCGCGCCGCGTGTAACACCTCATTCGCGCCGCAGGAATTTTTTACGCGCGTAATGCGTCTTTACATTGACTTAACATTGAAATCATTTGCGCCTGACGTGCTATTCGCGTCCGGTGTGAACGCACCATAACAGCTGACATATGCAGCCGTTAAGCAACTGAATAAGGATTATAATATTGGTTCGGAGCATTTTATTTAGTAAACAAGGCACAGTAATGAGAGTGTATAAAAACACTGATCTAAACAGTATGACATGAAATATCCTCATCATTACTCATTAATGCTAAGAAGCCAAAATTGTTGTTAAAATGAATAGGGTGCAACTGAAGAGAGTTTATTATCAAGGTTGTGTAACACACGTGCTCCACGCCAGCAGAGAGAGAGAGAAATTTTAGTCTCTCAGGTTATTTTTAACCCAGAACAGGAACTGCTGTGTTGACTCCCTAAACACACACACTCACACACCTGACAGCGCCGGAAACACCCTAATACACACACAGAGAGTTTCTGCACAGACAGTCACATGACCTGCGAGGGTCTGATGATCATTATATCCCGACTCCCTTCAGGGGTCAATGCCAAACACGAAGATCTGAGAAGATGAAGAGGAAAACATTTTGAAAATCATGTTATTAGACACTTAATATTTATGCCTGTGGTGCTTCTATATGGTTTAAAAACATTCAAGTACATGAAGAATTCAGATTCAAAAGCCTCTAAATGCCATTTGAAATTTTCTTCTTTAATGATGATTTTTATCAAGTTTTGTATTTTATACAAACCTATTTTTGCTCAATGCATCAGAATCATTATTTTTCCATTTTTTTAGGAATAAGAAATGTCCATGCTATATGTCAAATAATCTGACCTAGGAGATTTATAGACCTTGACCTGGGGTCAAGAAACAATGTTCACAGAAAGTTTTCAATATTTTCTTGTAAACGTAAGATACTCCAATAATCTTTATTTACAACTACGAAAAACATCATTGTTACCATGTGGAATAGAAATATTAGTGCTGACAGGATAATTGAGTAACTAATCGCTTATTTTCAGATCGCTAAAGTTCAAAGGTCATGACTCATGTTGATAGTCTTTAACGGTTAACAGGTAAAACCTTCCATCTTAAAACAGTCACACCTTCAGAAGTGACCGATCGCTCGCTCACTGCATCTATTTATCCCGTCACACACACTCTTCGGCTGATGTTGTCACAGAGAGCCGCCTTGTTCCCGACTTTCCACCGGTAGCCCGCAAAAATCCCAGAAATCCCTGTTATTTCCGCACCTGTGTTTGTTTGGCAGGCGCGTGAGCGCGTCAGAGAGCCGCGTAAACACAAGAAACGCCAGAACTGAAGCCGTGTGTTAAGCGGACAGACTTCAGCTCTGTTCGCACACACTCACTCACAGACACCGAGAGATGGAGAACATCACAGCACCATCTGCTGGAGCTGAGATATCCTTCACTGACACAACTGTCAACTGTGTGTAGCGGTGTAGTCGGGTGTAGTGGATAAAATGTAGGCAAGTGCGGCGAACAAAGTAGGCTAACACTTTTTGACTTTCTCAGTTTGTGTAAATCTACTTAGGGTTCAGAGTATTTTTTCACCCACATTAATTTCAGACATGTAGTACAATTAGGTGGGGTTTTTTTACAATAATTTTTTTTTAAAGAATATGGAAGTGAAATGTGACTGCTGCAACGCAGGTGGGGTAGCCTACATTGTAACATGAAAGATTAAATCTGATCTAATCAAACAAACTAGAATATGTTCTCAATAAAACAAAATTATTACCTTTTTTCATGTAAAATAATGCCATTTTTAATCATTTAAAATAATCAAGTCTGACAACGAACACAGGAAATCTATACAGCACAGTTCAACATTAATAATTAGTCATTTCTAAAATAATGTGATGAAAACAACATTGACTCTGATTCTTTATTCACAGTTTCTGTTAAGAGTGTCTTGAACAGTTCTGGAGAATCAAGGAAATTCAGGAGTGTCCTGTCTGCCGGAGAAGATCCTCAAAAGATCGTCTTCCATTAAATCTTGCATTAAAGAACTTGTGTGAGTCGTTCCTGAAGGAGAGGAATGAGAGGCGTTCATCAGTTTTTGAGGAGATCTGCAGTTTACACAGTGAGAAACTCAAACTCTTCTGTCTGGAGGATAAACAGCCGGTTTGTGTCGTGTGCAGAGATTCACAGACACACGTACGTCAATCACACATTCAGACCCATTGGTGAAGTTGTTCCAGCTTTTAAGGTAAGGCAGATTTACAGATGAGGATAACACTTATTTTAGCTTATGTATTATCCCACATAGCAAGGGATCTTGGCTTGAATGTGTCCTGGTTCATGATCTGGTTCATGTGTGGTAATGATGGCAGAGCATGATCACGGCAAACAACATGAAACCGATCGTTGGTGTGAGTGTGTCCCAGATCAATCAGGATTGTGACTGACTTACAATTCATTTCATTTGAAATGATAACGTTTCATTTGTTATGACTTAGCATTTTAAAGTTCAATCTTAAATAATACTAGAGTTTAAAATATTTATTTGAAGATTTCAGTGATCATTTAATATTTCATTAATTTTGTTAATCTTAAGTAAACAATCAAGCGCAGACACCTCTCTCAGCTGATTATTCGGCAGTGGGCGGGACTAATGCTCAAGCACAAATCCCATTGGCTAGTTTGGGTGAATGTAGGCAATGCGATAAATATTCATGAGCGCAACAAACTTTTATCGCGACAGACACGCTGCTGACATTAGGCTTCTACCTGATGATTCATTGATGATGTGTATTTTCACACTACAGTACTAGTACTTCAGAAAGTTAAAGTTGTAATTAACTAACCCCACATTTCCCCACTAACTCTTCATGCTGCTCCAGAATCAGTTGTGTTTTTGAGTTGAGTGAAGTGAATGTGATTTGATTTCAGTCTCAAGCTGAGCACACAGAGCATCAGATTAAACAGCAGTTTGAGAAGCTTCATCAGTTCCTCAGAGATGAAGAAGAAGCTACAATCACTGCACTGAGAGAGGAAGAGGAGCAGAAGAAGCAGATGATGAAGGAGAAGCTGGAGGAGATGGACACGCACATATCAGCTCTTTCACACGCAATCAAAGACATGAAGGAGATGATAAGAGCCAATGACGTCTGCTTTCTGAAGGTCTGATTTCACATCATTGATTGATTGATTGATTGAGTTCTTTATGATGAATTGTGTTTTTTCCTGCAGAAGTTTCCAGTCTCAATGGAAAGGTGAGTGATCTGCTGGTGTCTCTGGTCTCTCTGGTTCTGATCCACTGCAGTTTTGACTCCTGAATGTTCCTCCAGAGTCCAGATCTCACAGCCGGATCCACAGATGACTTCTGGAGCTTTGATTCATGTGTCACGATACTTGGGCAACCTGCCGTTCAGAGTCTGGAAGAAGATGCAGGACATCATCCAAAACAGTGAGTCTGGAGAAGATCTGTGCTGTTACACACTGGAAATCAGGCATGGGTTTATCATGACACAAAAGCACTAGATTATTTCAGTTTGTAGTAAGTGAAGATCATTCTGGTATATAATGAATATTAACTCTTTTTAAAGAATTTTCTCTTTTCTTCATCTAGTCCAGAACAAACTCTACAAAGTAAAATTGAAAAGATGCTTAATTTGTGATTTGTGACGGAAACACTGAAGCTCAAATATAATATTGTGAACTCAAGAACTTAAATATGTATTTCAAGATACTCAAATAGTTCACATTATAATGAGTTATTAGAGTAACTATTGACAGTCTCTCAAGTTCGTGAAGAAAATTATTAATTTATAATCTCCTCAGAAAGGGTACAAGGATACAAACGTTATGCGTACAAAATATTGCTTCTAACTTCTAACTTATTTTGTAAAAAGTTAAGAATATTTTGTATTTCAAAAGTTATTGTGTGTGTTTTTTTTAAAGATTGTTCTCAAGACAAAACTTCTTGAAAAGAGTGTTCATAAAATCATAGTGATATTATAACATATTGTTCAGACTACAGCATGCAAAATAAGTTCAGCACAAATCATTTATTGTGTGTAATTTTAAAACTGTGTAGTGCATAAAAGATTTTGATCTCAGGTTTAAACCGAACACAGAGACTTCAAAAATCAGCATATGAATCTCAACAATGGTGACAATTAAAACAAGTTTCATTTTGCTATGCATGCTGTGTATCACCATATTACAAAAAGCGATTGATCATTGGAAGTTAAAGTGCCTGGCTCAAGAGAGAGTGGAAGAGAGCGATATTCATTAACTGATTTTAAAGTATTTCAAACAAATACACACAAATTAAGACCCAGTTTAATGAACATGAAAGATGATGCTGAACAGAATTTTTACAGTTGAAGTTTTTCATCTCAACAGCTCTGATTGTTTGATTGTGATTTTAACTTTTCTTGATGAGACAAATATTTCAATCACACATAATGTTTGTCACTGATATCATTAAACACTGCTAATAACAATTAGTGTGGAACTAAAAACAATGTCAGTGATCCGAGGAAAATGTCTGACGGGGTTTATCAATAGGACAAGTGTCATAATTCATAATAATCTGTTCGGTTCACTCTTGATCATTATATGAACATCAGAACAAAAGCATCTGTTGATTGTGTCTCATCAGCTTCTGTGATTCTCGATCCAAAAACTGCAGATCCATTTCTCGCCCTGTCTGAAGATCTGACCAGTGTGAGATGGAGCGAGAATAAACAACCTCTCCCTGATAATCCAGAGAGATTTGACTGGTATCACTGTGTTCTGGGTTCAGAGGGCTTTAACTCGGGAACACACAGCTGGGATGTGGAGGTCAAAGAGAGTTCATACTGGTGTCTTGGAGTAACTACAGCATCAAACCAGAGGAAGGGTCGTGTTTTCTTTAACACTGATGTCTGGTGTGGACGGTACAGACTAACTGGGTCTGGTTTTCGTGTTGAACAGGATCTTGAGCGTGTGAGAGCTGATCTGGACTATGACAGTGGATCGGTGTCATTCTCTGATCCTGTAACACACATCTACACACATTCACAACCACCTTCACTGAAACGCTCTTTCCATTCTTCTGTTCTGTTCTTCCTTTCTAAGGATCTTACCGGTCAAAAGTCAGTAAAAGTTACTCCTGTAGATCTGGATTGAGATTTGTTTGTGTAAATCTGTATGTGTAAATCATCTGTCCCCTCCAAACTTCTTCAGACAAGGACTCTTCCTTTTCAGTCCTAATTTCCATGTCCCTGCCGTAGGGTCCTAGCTGTAGCGTTTAGCCATCCTACATGATTAATCCAAATCCAAATTATGGGTTTAGCCTGTTGTGCCATTTCATTGGTGTTATGTATACACTATATTGCCAAAAGTATTGAGACACCCTTCCAAATTATTGAATTCAGGTGTGTTCCAATCACTTCCATGGCCACAATTGTATAAAATCAAGTGGCATGAAGACTCCTTCTACAAACATTTGTGAAAGAAAGCTTTCTGGGGCTCTGTGAATTCAAGCGTGGTACCTATAGGTTAGCACCTGTGTAAAAAAGTCCATTCATGAAATTTCCTCACTATTAAATATTTCATGGTCAACTGTTTGTGGTATTAAAACAAAGTGGAAGCAATTGGGAACAAAGCAACTAAATTTTAGGATGGGGGTCCGTCGCAAGAGAATAATCATGTTTGGCATCTAAAAGATTGAAAACTCCTGTAACATCCATAAACATCATTATTTAAAAAATGACTTTCAAACGTCATTTAAAATATTACTGTGGTGTCCTCTGTCAACTTTATGATGATGTTGCTCAGCTGGGCAGCGACCTACTTGTGTGTGAAGAGAGTGAACAGCATAGGGCCAAGTACAGAGCCTTGAGGTGCGCCTCTGTTCATTACAAGAGGAGGAGTGTTTTCTGATCATGTTGGGATCTAGGAAGCTCAGTATCCCGTTACACAGTGCAGAAGGTTGTGGCTCCAGGTTATGCAGCTTGTTTATTAGTTTTTAGGGCATGATAGTGTTAAATGCCAAACTGTAAACTATAAAAAAAGTAATCAGGCATAAATTTCCTTAATTACCAAATGGGTTAGAATTCAGTAAATTGTAAATGAAGTAGCCTCCTATGTGGAAGTTTTTGTTTTGTAGACAACCTGTAGTGAGTCAAATGATTCTGGTTTGGGGCTCAGGCAACACATTCTCACCCCAAGGCGTCACCTTTGACCATGCTTCAATATTTGACGTTTTAGGCGCCCTTTAGCGTCACTTGCATGACGCGATCCTATCGCGAACCGCAGCGGGTAGGCAGGCATTTAGACAAGAGACTTTCTGTGGAAAAGGGATGATTGTGGTGACTTTGGTGGACTTTAAGAAGAAAACGGAACTAGTCAGTGTCAGAGGAAAGATTAAACAAAAACAAACTCACATAATCAGTAACTCTAGGCTCTTACAACAACACTTACAAGGAAGATACTGACTTCTTAATTCTCCTTTCTGTCATACTAATTTTGTCTTGACAAAAGCAATAAAGAATCAGTGGTCAATCAAAAATGAGGAACAGAAACTTGTGGATTTATGTTTGTTTCTGGAACAGATAACAGATATTTGTGATTCTTATGGTTATTCATTTTTAAACGTTTCTTTTGAGACCTTGACAGAAAGTGGCCTCACTATCTGAAGATGATTTTTCTTGTCGTTTGTGTTATGCAATTTTCAAGGCACAGTCCCTGTAAAGATTGTCTTCAACAGTTCTGGAAAACCAAGGACAGTCAGGAGTGTCCTGTGTGCAGGAGAAGATTCTTAAGGTGATCCTCCATGTAATCTTGTGTTAAAAAACTTGTTTGAGTCGTCCCTGAAGGAGAGAAATGAGAGGCGCTTCATGAGAACTGGTGTGAGAGCCGCTGGTCTGCAGTCATTAAGACAAGACTGTGAACAGGGATGATTTTGGTGGACTTTAAGGAGAAAAGGAACTGGTCAGTGTGAGGGGAAAAATTGAGGAAACACACACACATGATCAGAAACTCCAGGCTCTAACTACAAGACAGGCTTCTTATTTCTCATTTCTGTCATACTAACTTTGTCTTGGCAAAAGCAATAAAAAATCTGGGATCAATGAAGAACAAATAGGAAAAACTTTTAAGATTTGAAACCTTTGCTTCTGAACGGACAGATTTTTGTGACTCTCTTGGTTATTAATTATTGCTGGTGCTCAAACAGAAAATGGCTTCACTATCTGAAGATGATTTTTCTTGTCGCTTGTGTAAGGAAATCTTCAAGGATCCTGTTCTTCTGACATGTAGTCACAGTTTCTGTAAAGAGTGTATTCAACAGTTCTGGAGAACCAAGAACACTCAGGAGTGTCCTGTCTGCCGGAGAAGATCCTCAAGAGATGATCCTCCATGTAACCTTGCATTGAAGAACTTGTGTGAGTCGTTCCTGAAGGAGAGAAATGAGAGGTGCTCATCAACGTCTGAGGAGATCTGCCGTTTACACAGAGAGAAACTCAAACTCTTCTGTCTGGAGGACAAACAGCCTGTGTGTGTCGTGTGTATTAATTCACAGAAACACCTCAATCACACATTCAGACCCATCAGTGAAGTGGTTTCATCATACAAGGTAACAGATTTAGGAGATGAGGAGATCATATTGAAGAAATCTCTGGTGTCTTATAGATTTTCTCTTTAAATTCCAGGAGGAGCTCAATACAGCACTAAAGTCCTTACAAGAGAAACTGAAACACAATAAAAACATTAAAGACACGTTCACAAGAAAGAAAACCGTTCAACAAATCAAGGTGCGGATTGATTCTTTTGACATATTTACAAATTTGATTAGAACAACCGAATTGATGTGTCCAACATGTTCCGTTATTGACTGTTTATTGATAAGTTTGAGTTCATTGAAGTGAATGTGATTTTGATTTCAGTCTCAAGCTGAGCACACAGAGCGTCAGATTAAACAGCAGTTTGAGAAGCTTCATCAGTTCCTCAGAGATGAAGAAAAAGCTACAATCACTGCACTGAGAGAGGAAGAGGAGCAGAAGAAGCGGATGATGAAGGAGAAGACAAAGGAGATGGACAGACACATCTCAGATCTTTCACACGCAATCAAAGACATGGAGCAGATGATGAGAGCCAATGACGTCTGCTTTCTGAAGGTCTGATTTCACATCATTGATTGATTGATTGATGATTGAGTTCTTTATGATGAATTGTGTTTGTTCTGCAGGAGTTTCCAGTCTCAATGGAAAGGTGAGTGATCTGCTGGTGTCTCTGGTCTCTCTGGTTCTGATCCACTGCAGTTCTGACTCCTGAATGTTCCTCCAGAGTCCAGATCTCACAGCTGGATCCACAGATGGCTTCTGGAGCTTTGATTCATGTGCCACGATACTTGGGCAACCTGCCGTTCAGAGTCTGGACGAAGATGCAGGACATCGTCCAAAACAGTGAGTCTGGAGAAGATCTGTGCTGTTACACACTGGAAATCACAATTTTTTAAGAAGAATGCTTCTTCTTTGTTCAAGTCCAGAACAAAGTGAAAAGATACTTGAGGCACCATTTGTGATCCTTGTGGTGTCGTGCTCCACAAAAACAGAACTTTTAATCTCAAAGAGTGAATACAGAAGATTACAGTTTAGCACTCACTCGGAAGAGTAAGATAACTAAATAAAATAGCCCACTTATAATTTTATATTTCCCTCTTGTAGCCATTATGTGAACTGCACTCTAATATAAAGAATTGCTGTAAGGATACCACATTTACTCATCCCTCTCCCATTTTGATATTGCTAAATATACTAAAATACCCACCAGAATTAACTCTACTATTTGAGAAATAAGAGGAAATTATTTTCCAATTTTTTTTTTCAAGACATAAGAATGCAATAGCTTCTCAGAAAAGTCTGATAACTTGTTACAGCTATGTTTTCAGCTATTTAACATAGTGCTGCACTGTCAGAAAAAGTGGTACAGTAGGAGTCAATTTTTGTCCCCCAAGGTACAATCTACACTAATGTACGTCCCATCTGGCTTATTATTGGACCTCAAGGCATGTTTCCAAGCAATAAAAAGTACAAATATGTACTTTTTCTTTTAACGCTTTTTAGAGAAGATAAGGAACAATTCAGACCCTGCAGTAATTCAGGACAAACTCCATGTGAACTTTTGGTCCTCCAAACTTTTACTATCGTGCCTCAATTGATTTTGATTAATATGCACAAGGGAGCAAGACAGCGTTCGTGTTGTTTGAAGACGGTAAGAGTGTGTGCGCCTGGCCGGGGCTTTCTCTCTGCTCGTTCTTATATGCAGGAAAAAAAAAATCCCATTCACTCTTGGAACCCAAAACAGGAAAAGTGTAACATCTTATATCAAATTTTTATAACCTATTAATTCAGAAACTTCATCCCATGTCATTCATTTGTTGAATGCTCAAGTCTGGTTTTATATATTCTCAAGTCCGAGTCCACAACATGACATCATGACTTTTGCGTAAACATACACGCCACTTTCGAGTCAAGTGGCGTGTTACTCTACGCATTTTGAGCTATCCGCGTGTATGTCTACACCATTAACGTCCGAGTGATTCCGCGTGTCTGTACATGCCGTCAAATGTCCACGCGTAACTAAGCAAAATGTAGATCTACATCTGGGGAGCGATCTTTTTTTTCCTAGGATGGTAAGGGAACAGTCATAAATGCCACTAACCCCAGTAACGGTTAGGTTTAGGGACGGGGTTGAGGTAAGTCATATATTTATATATACAGTAATAACGTTAAGTCAACTGCGTTCATAAACACGCTGAAAAACGATTATGCGTCTTGATTGCACGCCAAAAAAGGAAATACGAATTGGCATGTCATACATACGCTACTTCATAAGATCAGTCTGGAGTCCAAGTATGTGACATCTATCCGCGAGTCCAAGTCAAGTCACGAGTCCAGAGAATATAGTCTTGAGTCGGAACCGAGTCCAGAGAATAGAGTACTCAGAGTACTCCATCACTGTCACCAGGTTTATCAACTCTTGAGAATTAAGAGAGTAAGAACCACCCCTTATCATCCTCAGACAAATGGTTTGGTTGAAAGGTTAAAAAAAGCCCTTAAAAATACACTAAATAAGTTTGTTTCGAAGACTGGAAAGGATTAGGACAAGTGGTTGCCATACCTGCTGTTTGCGTATCGGGATGCACCCCATCAAAGGGATTTTCTTCTTTTGAACTCCAGTACACTCACCCAGTCAGAGGTCCTCTTGATTTTTTAGGAGAGGCCTGGGAGGCATCAGAAAGCCAGGTCAAATAATAAATTATTCCTTATGTCCTAAAGATGACAGAACAGTTGGAGAAAACTATGGCTACAGCTCTGTAAAACCTCCTTCACAACCATGCACGTCAAAATGAATGATACAATCAAACAGCCAGAACCCGCAGCTTTGAAGAAGGTGATGAGGTTTTGTTACATCTACCTACTTCAGAAAACAAGCTACTGGCCAAGTGGCAGTGCCCTTATCAGGTTCAAAGGAAGGTAGGTCCAGTCACCTATGAAGTCTACATTCCATTTAAAAGCAAGCCATTGTAGACATTTCATTTTAATCTACTAAAAAGATGGCCTACATCATCTGTTTCTACAACTGTCACTAGTGAATTAAGTCCAGAGCAAAGCTTTTTCATCCGAGGATGAAGAGGAAGCAATACTTCCCTGTTCCTCGCCAATCTGCTCAATTTTTCTTAAGCCAACTGTCAGAACATAAGACACAGCAATTTTTGGGGGCCTGATACCACCAGGTCTATTTAAAGAGAGACCTGGTCTGTTAAACCACATTACCCTACACATTTCTAAACCCATTCGCCAAACTGTTTACAGAATACCTGATCGACTCTTGTTGGAAACCATGCAGAGTTTGGGGTTCATACAGCCATCTGCCAGTGAGTGCAGTAGTCCAGTCATCTTGGTGCCCAAGAAAGATTGGTGCCTTCGTTTCTGCTTGGACTTTCGGAAGGTAAACAGCGTCAGTAAGGTCAACTCCTATCCCATGCCTAGGGAAGATTAACTTATGGAACGAGCTAAGTACTGCACATCAGCATACTAGACCAATGTAAGGGCTATTGGCAAGTCCCATTGACCCCACAAAGTCAGGAATTCACAGCCTTCAGAACACTGTTTGGACCCTTACATTTCCGGGTACTACCTTTTGGACTCCACGGTACGCTGTCCACCTTCCAAAGAATGATTGATCAGCTCCTGCAAGGTACAGCTGTCTATCTAGATGACAATGCCATCTATAGCCAGTCATGGGAAGAACTTCTGCTTCACCTGAAGCATGTTTTATGGAGGATTAAAAGTGCAGACCTCACCCTTCGCCCTGACAAGTGTTTTTTGGCCAAGCAAGAAATATAGTACCTGGGATTTGTTTTGGTTCATGGAGTGATTTGGCCTCAAGTCTGCTGGAAGGCCACAGACTAAGAAACAAGTGCGGTTGTACCAAATCGTTAGCCTGGATGCCAGCCCGAACCCCGCCCACAACGTTTTTTGGTTGGGAAGTTCGGTCTGGATCCAATCAAATAGGGCCAATCAAATTGCCAGGGCGGACTTTATCCGATGATAGACAGATGATCTGCAGTTATGTAATTGTCACATCATCAAAGAGGGCTTGGGTTGAACTGGTTTCCCTCAAAGATGACTGCAGCTGGAGAATTGAGATGTATAGATTCCGGTATCGCGTCTGTTTTAGAAGAAATCGACAGCGCATTCATTTTAAAAGACGAACAGAGAACTGCAATAAAGTCATTTGTCGATCATCAAGATGTGTTTGCCGTCCTTCCTACGGGATTCGGCAAAGGTTTAATTTATCAGCTGGCTCCGATGATCGCTAAGAAGATGGGACGTGATGAAAACCCAGTTGTCATTGTGGTTTCTCATTTGATCGCACTCATGGAAGACCAAGTAAAAGAAGCAACCAAAATGGGCATGACGGCAATGCAACTCATGTCAAAGCCATCGCTGCATGAAACAATGGTGACGCTTTATTATAGTACTTGCACGCGGCACACCATACCCATACTGGTAGTCACTGTGCCCCTTATAAGCGGTCCTTGCCGCGGTGGGGAATCCGCGGTGCCATCGAGCATGGTGTGCTGTGGGTGTACAGTCTTGGGTGTGAGACCGGATATTGACGTATGGTCAAAAGACATCCCAAGAAATCATATAACTGACGTCTTGGGATGTCTTTTGACCATACGTCAATATCCGCCTTTTTAGGGCCCCCTTAAACGTCGGTAGATGACGTTATCGGATCCTAACTCTACCCCAGACCTAAACCTAACCCTAAACCTACCCCGTCACCAAACTGACGTTAAAGGTAAAGCGTCAGTTGTATGACGGCCCGGGATCGTCATCTACCGACGTTTAAGGGGGTCGTAAAAAGGCGGATCTTGACGTATGGTCAAAAGACGTTCCAAGACGTCAGTTATATGATTTTTTGGGATGGGACTGTGTTAGGTGTACCCCCGGTCTGTGAGGAGCGATGGGGGTATGTGGCAAACAGGATGGCCGAGGGTCAGGAGAGAACTACTCATGTTCCTTTATTCTCACATTTTGGATTACTTTTTTGCGGCGCCCGAGGAGTGATTGGAGGTTAAAGTGCCTTGTTCAGGTGATAGAGGAAGAGGAAGAGAGCGCTGTTCAATCACTCTTATTTAAAACAAATACACACACATTAAGACTCTTAATTAAGACCGATACAGTTTTTCATCTCAAGCGCTCTAATGATGATGCTGATGAAGATGATATATACTTTATTTATCCCGAGGGAAATTTAAGTATCCAGTACCATACGAAAAAGCATACATGCATTAAACATACATAAAACAGATATTAAACATAAAATAACATAATAAAATGAACGTATTACACAATAGCCACAGTAAAAACAATGCAAAACAATAAAAAGTGCAAATGGAGTGCAGATGGATATAAACAGCCCAGATGGAGTGCAAATGGAAGTAAAAAGTACAGTATGGAGGTAGAAAATTGTCCTATTGTCTGTTTACCTCCGTATTGTCTATTTACCTCCCCTGATTGTTTGATTGTGATTTTAACTTGATGAGACACAACTATTTGAATCACACATTTAAATGTTCGTCGCTAATCTCATTAATAAAGACTGATAATAAAAATTAGCGTGAAAACTTAAAGCTACACTGTGTAACTCTTTTAGTTTATTCTTAGCTAAAAACATTTAGTTCTTTCAAAAATATATGTGCTCATTAATGTATATTAATTTACTTCGTTCAAGTAATAAAGTATTCTCGTGAGTGTATAATATGCCATTGAAAATACATACGGGTAAGGGGTTCTAATGTCGGTCGCCATGTTGCCCCTCCATCTTGAAAGTACATTAGCCAAAGAGGGACATACCCGTTAATTCAAGCTTCGCCTTTCGCGTTTCCGTTTGAGTTAACACTCATGGACGAGGTCAAACTGGAAGCCATGTTAATCTTGGACTACATCGGCCACTGTAGGAGTTAAAACGAAATTGGAATTGAGAGGAACAGAAACGAATATTCTAGTTTACGCTAGATGGAGGTAAAAATCACACAGTGTAGCTTTAAAACACTGACAGTGATCGTGTGTTTGATCAATAGGACGAGTGTCATAATTCATAATAATCTGTGTACGGTTCACTCTTGATCATTATATGAACATATGTTGATTGTGTCTCATCATCAGCTCCTGTGATTCTGGATCCAAACTCGGCTCATCCACGTCTTGTCCTGTCTGATGATCTGACCAGTGTGAGAGACAGCAGAAACATTAAATGTCTTTTATCAGATTTGGTGTTATCTTTTTGTTGATTGTCACCATTGTTGAGATTCATTTGCTGATTCTTGCTGTCTGAAATGATGCTGTAGTTTAAAGCTGTTTAGTGAATGATGAGTTTAAAAATCCTTCATGACTTATTGTGCAGTGCTTTATCAATTTGGACGAGTGTCATAATTCATAACAATCTGTGTGCATTATATAAACAACAGAACAAAAGTACCTGTTGATTGTGTCTCATCAGCTCCTGTGATTCTGGATCCAAACTCGGCTCATCCACGTCTTGTCCTGTCTGATGATCTGACCAGTGTGAGAAACAGCAGAAACAAACAACCTCTTCCTGATAATCCAGAGAGATTTGACTCTCATTACTGTGTTCTGGGTTCAGAGGGCTATAACTCAGGAACACACAGCTGGGATGTGGAGGTTAAAGAGAGTCAATACTGGAGTCTTGGAGTAACTACAGCATCAAACCAGAGGAAGGGAGGTGATTTCTTTAACACTGATGTCTGGAGTGTGGAGTATGACCCATATGGACAGTCGCGTGGTGTTTGTGTTGTACAGAAGCTTGAGCGTGTGAGAGTTGATCTGGATTATGACAGAGGAACGGTGTCATTCTCTGATCCTGTAACTAACACACATCTACACACATTCACAACCACCTTCACTGACACACTCTTTCCATTCTTCTGGTGTTGGATTGACTCTCTGAGGATCTTACCGGTCAATAGTCATTAAAAATGCTTTCTTCTGCTTTCTTCTTTTACAGTCTTTAAAGTATAGCGGAGGATTTTCTTTTTCCGGGTGGGTAGTCTATACTATTGGTCCACCTAAGTGTCAATCATTCTGGTGTTTACGTAAGGCTGTCGTACGTGCTCATCCCTATGTAGTTTTCACTTTCAGGTGTATTATGTCAGAGTTACGGTTTCAGCCATTCCTTTGAAAATGGCTAAGGGTTGAAACAGAAGTGTATGATAAGAAGAGAAAGGCCGCAGAATATAGAAACAAGACCAGAGTGATTTTGGGTGAATATCACACGCTGGTGTCACGCTAAAAGCACAGGTTGGGCTTCTCACTGATGCCGCAGTCGCGAAGATTCTACTAGACAGGTAAAGTTTGTCACGCTATTTGGAGAAATCCATTTAAAATCACTAGTAAAAGTTAATGCAAGCTACTTAGCAATGCTAGCCCTGGCACGAGTCATGCACCGCATAGACACGGTAAACATCTCAATTTGTCTAAAGTAGCCTTTTGACCAAATGATAAATGGCATCACGCTGAAATATTCTAAAACCTTGTGTGTTTATTATTACACAAATGCAACAAGCTAACTTCTCCATTACATATGCAACTATGTATAAAAATAGCGTATTAATACCTACGTATTAACAATGAGACATATTAGGTTAAGGACCAACGTAATAGCACTGCTTATATGTTGCCATGTAACGTAATTGCGATTTGCAAAATAGTTTCCTCAGAACGTATTTCGTGTGATACAGGGTTGCACATATCATGTCTTGAGTCCTCGGTCACTCAATCGATCAGGGGTGCGTTTCCCGAAAGCATCGTTAGCCAACTATGGTCGCAAGTTCCGTCGTTATCAGCATAGTTCAACGATTCGGTGTTTCCCGAAACCATCGTTCCAACGAACATTCGCAAACAGCATCGCAAAGTTGTGTGGTTTGAACGACAGCTCTCGACCTGTAGTTAGAAGCATCGTTTCTATATTTGCAACACATTTGGAGGTAATAAATCCTTATCTTGAGCATAATGAGCAAGCTGACATTCAGTACAACCGGTGTCTTTTATTTAGAATACTTACAAATGGAATTTACGTCTTTTAGTTTGTCAAGAGATTTGAAGTAACGTGTTTGAAAAGTGCGCATGTGCGAACGCGCTCCGAATAATAACGAGTCAAATATTGAGTCTGGTAATTAAGCAAAACAACTGAGAACAATTAGAAGTAGTCCTCAGATGACATGTCTGTAATTTATATTAAACAAATATAGCGTTAATTGGATCTCAAACAGTTTCATTAAAAGCAGTTAGTACTCCACCACGTGCGAAACCAACGTGGTTGAACGATACTTTGCAACAGTGGGTTTCGGGAAACAGTCGTGACTAGCTTGTTGATTTTTCCAACGATGCATCGTACTATGGTAGTGAAGCAGTGAACTGCGTCGTTGAAAGCATCGTTAGCCAACTATGGTCGCAAGTTCCGTCGTTTTCCAATAGAGTTCAATGGAAATTGCGACCAACTTGCGACCATAGTTGGCTAACGATGCTTTAGGGAAACGCACCCCAGTATAATAAGTAATTAAAAAACGGAAGGGCATTTGACATGTTGTCTTTTTTATGAATGTTTTTGAGTTAGTTTAGAATTTGCAACATAATTGTGCAAGGCGTAATAGGCGTTCCCTCTCGGGAGCAAGAGTGTTTGTGCATGTGCATTTTTTTTAAAAAATTGGAGAGGGCGGGTCTTCTCTAAAATTCGGAAAGATCCTCCGCTATACCTTTAATGTTTCCAGTATTTGTATGTGTAAAACTTCTCAGAAATGCTGAAAATTGAAAGTCTTTAATCATTTACTCTTATGTTGTTCCAATCCTGTATGAGTTTCTGTCTTCTGTTGAACATAAAAATATATATTTTGAAGAATGTGGGAAATTAACGAAGTTTGATTGGTGAATGTTTAGAGTGCGAATCCACATGAGAGAGTTTACATTTGTCTCTTGTATTTTGATCACTACATCATTCCCAGACTTCCATTTGTGTGATTTAAGAGTTTTCATAGCATTAGAATTATTTTAAAATGTGGTAATAATAATAATAAAAAAAAAACTAAAAGATGTGTCCAAACTTTTGTCTGTATGTTTTTGTCATATATTCCACTTGCAGTAAGTGACAGACAGTGTTAGTGATGTTGAGCTGGAGCGTCTCCTCTCCTTTGGATGTGAGGAATAGATAGAGGAAAGAACAGGATGTCTGACGGAGAGCAAGGCGTCGGGGGCGGGGAATTGTCCGGAAGTAGAAGAGGGACGTTAAGCAAACAGTCGCTTTGAGAGATGGGCGGCAGGAAGTGTGGGCGTCGGTCTCTCCTCTTTTGCTCCTCCCATTTACATACTGGCTCCGCCCTGAAGCCCCGCCAACCAGAGTCATTCCAGTGTTGTTCCCTCTTCCTGTCTGTTATTTCTAAACTCTGTATCCACTGGCTGAGCTCTGATGCCTCGTCTCTGATTTTTACACGTTTATTTTTGTTTTTTCTCGTCATCTTCAGCGTCTGTCCCCTCCAAACTTCTTCAAACAAGTACTCTTCCTTTTCAGTCCTATATCCAACGTCTCTGCCGCGGGTCCTCGCTGTAGCGTTTAACCGTCCGTCATGATGCCAGCGCTGAACGCTGACTGTTTGAGGCTGTTCATTCATGGATGTCTCATCATCTTTTTGAGGTTTTGCACGTGAAATTTTAGGTAATTGCCTGTCTCGCGTCTGAATGCGTTTGAGTCCGTTTAAGGGTGTGTTTCGGTGAGATCCACCTGTTAACGGGTCAGAACGGTCAACAGATTGACCCGATATGTTTCGGGTCGTGTTTAAGACTGAACGCAGGCGACGATGGGGTGGTAAACTCGCAGACAGACCCGTCAGACCCACCGTACGGAAGAGCAGAGCGGGCCGGAGGTTGACCATGTGACGCTCGCTTGTTTCATCCATGCTGCAGTCTGGAGGAAGAGCAGAGATCGACATTTTTAAATCCACAAAATCCATGTTCACAGATTAAAATTATTGAGAGTAAAATAAATAGGGGTTCTCCTTCACACCCAAAACTTTTCATTGCTGTTATGTGAATGCTCAGACAGTGTGGTTTTGCGTTCCCTGTTTTTATCCCCGTTTTGCTTTCCTGTGTTCCCTAGTTAGTTTTCTTGGTTGTTAAAGCTACACTGTGTAACTCTTTTAGTTTATTCTTAGCTAAAAACACTTAGTTCTTTCAAAAATATATGTGCTCATTAATGTATATTTACTTCGTTCAAGTAATAAAGTATTCTCGTGAGTGTATAATATGCCATTGAATATACATACGGGAAAGGGGTTCTAATGTCGGTCGCCATCTTGAAAGTACATTAGCCAAAGAGGGACATACCCGTTAATTCAAGCTTCGCATTTCGCGTTTACGTTTGAGTTAACACTCATGGATGAGGTCGAACTGGAAGCCATGTTAATCTTGGACTACATTGGCCACCGTAGGAGTTAAAACGAAATCGGAATTGAGAGGAACAGAAACTAATATTCACTGGATGGTCATCTACCTTTTCACCACTAGATGGGGGTAAAAATCACACAGTGTAGCTTTAATTAGTTCCACACACCTGTTTCTGTTCAGTTGATTACCTTCCCGGTGTATTTGAGTCCTCAGTTTCCATTGTTTCATTGTTTCATATTAAATAAATAAGTAGTCATATAACAGTACGTAATGATGAATATACTATTGAGACAATAATATACATTTTTCACAGTATAAATTGGGTCTTGACACACAGTGTGTCTTTTCAATTTTAGGATGGGCAGCCGTCGCATGTTTGGCATCTAAAATATTAAAAACTCCTGGGTCAAACTGTTTGTCAAACGACTTGCAACATCCATAAACTATAGATTAATAGATTCGTGTTATTAAATAAATTTCTATTTCTGATTAACAAAGAAGGAAAGGACTTTTCTTAGATTGACTTTAGTTAGCACCATGGTGTTTCAATGTTTTTTTTGTCATACCATGTTAAAGCCATTTCTAGACTCTGATGGTAATAATGTAAAAACAATGATATATAAATATGGTAACCACACATTACTGTGGTATATTAAAGTAAACATAGTATTACCATGCATTTTAATAAAGTGGTGTGGCATTTCTGAATTAAATTCTGGAAGAACATCATCAATGAAGACAAAAACAAAGCAGGTTCAAACAGTAAACAGAGAGACAGCAATAAATGAGAATGAAATCAAGAGAGAAATAGTTTAGTTTAGAAAGGGAAGCTGAATGAAAATCAAGAATCTACCTGATGATGATGATGAGGTCAGATTTACAAACAGACCAGCATGAAGAGCCACTTACAGTCTGACGGCTTCATCTCTTATCAAACACACTCGGCATCTATTGCCTGACGGCTTCATCTCTTATCGGCATCTGTTGCCATGGAGTCCTGCAAGACCAATCAGCATCTCTCAACTTCTCTTCTCCCTCTGTCTCTCTTTCATGTCGTGACCTTCACCAGCACGAAGCATGTGCAGCTCGCCTCTATGTCTGTCCATTAATTATGAAACAGACGGCAGGACAGCAGCTCTGACCAACACAGTAATCCAAAATGTGGTGGTCTGGTGCATCATATACACTCACCTAAAGGGTTATGAGGAACACCGGTTCAATTTCTCATTAATGAAATTATCTAATCATATATATATGTGGGTGCACTGTAATTATACACAGTGCACCCACATATATTATGTAAACAAAATCTTTTATTTTGGATGCGATTAATTGAGATTAATCGTTTGACAGCCCTAATACGAAATAATTATACACAGTTCACAAATATATATATATATATATATATAAGATCCAAAATTCCAATAGGATTTTTTGACAAGGGTGACAACAAGGTTTTCTTGTAGAATAAAAAAAAATCTGAAGCTACTTACCGCACTGATATGAACTGCCATGGTCACAAATCCTCGAAACTCTTGCGATCCAACAGCTAAAGCCAAACTCACAATGCTCATTCATTTCAAAGTAACATTTGCATTGACCTCTACTATGAATTCATGATTGATTGACTACCAAATTAAAATCCTAAACGGAATGATCAAATAAGGTTATTAACCGCGAAATGATCATTTCAAATAAGCGAATAATCAACTTCACACTCATTAGATTAGTTAATCGCATGTGCATGCTGCAGTTCGTCTCCGATCCGCGGGGTGTCACTGTGACGCATCCACTCCTCCACGTGGGCGGAAGTGCGTCAGTGGTCCGTGTGACCAGAGGACTGTAGAGCTCACGGTAAGAGTTTATTTTGTAACATTATAACATTTCCAACATTTTATGTCTCATAACTATCATACACACATAAAACAACATTGAAGCGGAAATAATTAGATTTGGCGCTTTACGCGTTCATAAACTCACTAACTTAGATTTTGTATAACACACACACACGTAACAGATCAGAAGCTCAAAGTCACATGGAGGTTAAAAACACACAGATTTTCACAACCGCAGTTAAAACACGAGAACCCGACAGACGCAAATTTACGAGCACTGAATGAGCTATGGATATATAAAAGCCCAGTGTCTGTTAGACTGTCAACAGTGTGTCTGAAACATTCATAACTCATATGAGGGAACATTGAATAACATACTTCTAATTTCTACGTTATATTTGTCCAAAACACGCTAAATTGATAGTACGTATGAAGGAAAATCGCTTTTTTTCAATGTTTAATGCCTCTATATATGTGTGCGTGTGTTTTGCGCAATTATACTATACGATATTATACAAATATTAGCCTATAATATAACATTATACACCATAAAATGTATCGGCTAGGCCTATATATACACAATACCTGTCAAAAGTTTGTAAATATTTGTTTTTAATGTTTTTGAAAGAAGTGCTGCTCTCCATGGCTGCATTTATTTGATACATAAGTATTTTAATATACAATTATTTTAATTTAATATTAATATAATATTGAAATATTATTACTATTCAAAATAAGTTTTTTTTATGTTCAACATATGTTTAACTGTAATTTATTCCTGTGATTAAAGCTGTATTTTCAGCATCATTACTCCAGTCTTCAGTGTCACATAATCCTTCAAAAATCATATAACATGATTATCTTCTGCTCACGAAGCATTTATGATTTGCTTTAGTACTGATGCTTTTTTAGGATTCTTTCATGAAACGAGAGTTAAAAAGAACAGCATTTATTTGCATTTATTATATATATTATATTATATTATTATATATAATTCAATGTAAGTCTTTGTAATATCATAAATGTCATCACTGTTACTTTTGATCAATATAATGCGTCCCTGATGAATAAAAGTATTACTTTATCTCTCTCTCTTTTAAATTTTACCACAAACGTTTGAATGGTATAACAGTTTCCATGGAAAAAAAAAAAACACTAATAATAAATCATAAATATTTCTTGAGCATCAGATCATCATATTAGAGTAATTTCTGACGGATCATGTGACACTGAAGACTGGGGTAATGATTTGATCACAGGAATAAACTAAATTCACACAGAAAACTGCTGTTGTAAAGTGATATGTTGAATGTGTGTGTGTTTTCAGATGGCGTTCAGGCTGCTGGTGCGGAGAGTGTGTGGAACGTCGGTGCGAGATCTCCAGCGTCTGCCGGCCAGCGTGTCGTCGTTCTCCTCGTGTCTGACCCCGTCTCCTGCCCTCCTCACCCACTCTCTCCCGCTTCTCTCGTCCCGCAGGAGTGTGTCGTTCAGCGTGCAGGACCACGACGACTTCACTGAAAGGGTCATCAACAGCCAGCTGCCCGTCCTCGTAGACTTCCATGCACAGTACGTACACACACACTATCTTTTTCGAGTTTTTTTGGATTGCTAAACGACAGTGAGCACAACTGGAGCTACATTGTGCAAAACTCTGAGTGTGTGTTTGACGCCTCACTGACAGGTTTGTGTTCATTCAGAGATCATGTCAGCTGATCTCAGGGCAGTTTCTGCGAGCCTCAGTGTGATGGTAGTTCTCGGAGTTGTAGATCTAAAGTGTGTGTGGTAGGAAGCGTCAGATCATCTGATTGTGTGTGTGTGTCTTTAGGTGGTGCGGCCCTTGTAAAATCCTTGGCCCTCGGCTGGAGAAGGCCATCGCCAAACAGGAGGGTCGAGTCGCCATGGCCAAAGTGGACATCGATGAACACACAGACCTCGCCATCGAGTACGGGGTATGACACACGGTTATTAACACAAATTAAAAACACATTTGAAAAAAATTTAATAAAAATAGGTTAGAAAAACTTAAACTGAACTAAATGGTGCCTTGGTGACTAATAAGTTTATTTACGATAATAAGTTTATTTTACTGTGTTATTTTATTTCCACTCCACTCATTAGATTTTTTACTGTTTTATTTTGTATTTTTTCCCACTCATTAGATTTTTTTACTGTTTTATTTTGTATTTTTTTCCACGCATTAGATTTTTACTGTTTTATTTTATGTCCACTCATTAGATCTTTTACTGTTTTATTTTGTATTTTTTCCCACTCATTAAATTTTTACTGTTTTATTTTATGTCCACTCATTAGATTTTTACTGTTTTATTTTATGTCCACTCATTAGATTTTTACTGTTTTATTTTATGTCCACTCATTAGATTTTTTACTGTTTTATTTTGTATTTTTTCCCACCCACTAGATTTTTACTGTTTTATTTTATGTCCACTCATTAGGTTTTTACTGTTTTATTTTATGTCATTAGATTTTTACTGTTTTATTTTATGTCCACTCATTAGATTTTTACTGTTTTATTTTATGTCCACTCATTCGATTTTTTTTTACTGTTTTATTTTGTATTTTTTCCCACTCATTAGATTTTTACTGTTTTATTTTATGTCCACTCATTCGATTTTTTTACTGTTTTATTTTGTATTTTTTCCCACTCATTAGATTTTTACTGTTTTATTTTATGTCCACTCATTAGATTTTTACTGTTTTATTTTGTGTCCACTTATTAGATTTTTTACTGTTTTATTTTGTATTTTTTCCCACCCACTAGATTTTTACTGTTTTATTTTGTCCACTCATTAGATTTTTACTGTTTTATTTTATGTCCACTTATTAGATTTTTACTGTTTTATTTTATGTCCACTCATTAGATTTTTACTGTTTTATTTTATGTCCACTCATTCGATTTTTTTACAGTTTTATTTTGTATTTTTTCCCACTCATTAGATTTTTACTGTTTTATTTTATGTCCACTCATTTGTTTTTTTTTACTGTTTTATTTTGTATTTTTTCCCACCCACTAGATATTTTACTGTCTTATTTTATTTCCACTCATTAGATTTTGTTCTATTTAATTTTATATTATATTTCATTTCCACTCATTAGATTGTTTCACTGTTTTATCTTATATTTTATATCTACTCATTAGATTTTTTTTTTTTATTTATACTGTTTTATTTATTTCCTACATTACTCACTTTTTTTTTTTTTTACTGTTTTCCTTTCTGGAAACTTTGAAATTGTATAACTCCTGACACAAATGAAGACAAATTCTGAAACCTGGGTCTTATCCACCAGTAAAAAGATATTAGTTTGTCAGGGTAATAACATTACATCTAATAGTAATTTTGACCTATTTAAACAAAAAACGATAGTGAACTAATTATTAGGCTACATTATATGCGTCACGTCACATAGTGGTCTATTTTCAGTTCAAAATGGCGAGAATAGACAAAAGTTTATTAGTTTGCCTGATTATTTTTGTGATTCGTTGAACATTTTTGACCTAAAAAACTGTAAAATAGGAAATGTTTAGTTTAGCAACTTACATCTTATCTCGCACTTGATCGACTGTAAACTGAAGCGTGTCGAGTCCCTGCTAAAATTCACGCTGTGAACATAAAGCCCGCCTACTTTGATTTGATTGGTCATCTCAAATATTCTGACATTGACGAGCAGTGTCGAACCAATGAGGCTCAGATGAACACACACCTTGTCTTCTGTTTGTTCTAAACAAAATCACACAACCAAAATGACTCATACTTAAACTAAAATAAATTTTACGTCAAACAAAAAAGAAAATAAAAGAATCTCAACAGCACACGGAATGATTCCTCGATTATTATGGGATGCTGATTGTTCCTGATGTGCTGTATAGGTGTCGGCCGTTCCCACGGTGATCGCCATGCGGGACGGTGATGTCATCGACCAGTTTGTGGGCATCAAAGATGAGGACCAGCTGGATTCCTTTGTGAAGAAGCTGATTGGACAGTGAAACTGTCAATCACGCTCCTCTAGCCCCGCCCACCTCCCTCTGGAAACGCCATTGCATCTGATCACGAACACGGACAACTGCTGCAACCTGGACCGTCTTCGCTTCACCATCTCACCTGCTTTCATTAACTGTGTCTGTGTCGTCATGTGCTTTTTAGAGGACAGTGCTTTAACCGTGTTCACCGCGGTACAAGTGTAGTGAAGTGTTGTCGGAGAACTGATCCACTCATCCGGGCCACACGAGGGCG